CTTTCGTGGCCCCGAGGGGGCTTTCCTTGCTCACCTGCCGCGAAGCCCCCGGGCCAGCCCGGCCCCGGCCGGCGAGAAGCGCGCTCCGTCGAGGACTGGCAGCCCATGGCCAGCAGGGGGCGCCCCGGGGCCGGCTAAGGCGGCATCTCCGGGGCAGAGGCAGGCAGGCGCCCCGGGGGCCGGGGGGGCTCTCCTGCACACACACAAACACGCCGGTGGTGCTTTGGAGCCGGNGACAGGGTACAAAAAGAAGCTCCCACAGCAGCGGGGCTTCCCGGAGATAAACCAGGTCGCCGTGATGCTCAGAGTGGTCGCGTAGACCAGATTTTTTTTTTTGGGGGGGGGGAATACAAATCAAATCAAATCAATCAATAAAAATGCTGAAAAGCAAATGCACGCGGGAGGCCGCCCCTCTCCCCCCCCCCATGGAAACCAGATTGTTGCAAACTTGCTCCTTAGTTAGCTGCGTTCGTGTATTTATTAAAGAAAAAGGGATTGGAATTGGAAAGCTGTCGCCTGGTTCACAGACCGGGCAGAGAACCTCCAAGGAATGTTGAAAGGGAAAAGGATTTACAATCTGGGACTTGTCATAAAAACAAGCAGCCACACGATCCCAGATTTCGAAGGCGAGGCTTCCTAATTGTTTTAAAAACAATGGACACGCCGGCCAATCAGCGCTCCCTTTTCCGTCCAGGCCCCGGATCGAGCCCCGCCTCCGCCCTCACCTCCCCCCCCACTACGCGCCAGGAAAGGCAACTCCGCCTTTCTTTTCCTCTCTAGGATTACTTAAAAGACGTGTTCTTCTGCCGTCGCGCCGCTCTAGGAATCTTCTCCCGCGTCGAGGCCGCTTTAATGTTTTGTACCTCCCCCTCCAGCGTCCCGGTAGCCTCTCGGCGCAATCGCGTGCTTTTCGAATTGACCAATCGGAGAAGGGCGGAGCCGCCCACCAATCACGAGCGCTGGCGCAGGAGGTCGATGGTTTAAATGGAGGCCTAGATGGACGCGTGGAGAGAAGAGTCAATGGGCTAGAGCGTCAAGATGTCCAAAGAGTAAGTAGGGTTTGGGCAGGTCAACTTCCGTAGCAGGACGGAGCAAAATTGGTGGCGGAGGACAGGAGAAAATCCGTGGTTTTTAGAAGCCTGCTTCAGGTTGGCAGATAAGAAGGCTCTCCCGCCTCACTCCATGCAAAACTTGGAGACTTTTGGGTGTCGGGAAAAATAAATGTTAAGTTCAACTTAACATTAAGTTCGACTTCAACTTCCTAATGTGGTTTTCAAAAACCTGCCCCGCCGTAAATGCAGTAGCTATGAAAGTTATTATTCTGGCCTTTTAGGTTGCTGTTGTAACATTCTAGTACAAGAGTTTGCTACATTTTCTGTTGCCTGTTTTTTTAAATACTGTATTATCTGTTGTGGCTTTATCGCCATGGTGTTCGTTGAAAGCTGGACTGAGCAAAGTGTCTCCTAAATCAGCAAATAAATAATGTAATTTAATTTGTAAAGAGTACTTTGTGTAAAGCCCCACAATTTGCAGGTTTGTAGAGCTGCTTCTGTTACACACTTTGTAAGCATTACCTTTTCAGAAATGTCAGGCTGGTTTTGCATTTGTTACCCTGTTTCCCCCCAAATAAGACCTAACCTGAAAATAAGCCCTAGTAGAATTTTTCAATATGCTTATCCTGTCTTATTTTCAGGGAAACACAGTAATAGCCAATTTAAAATGCCAAGAATATATGTAATGGATTAAAAATCGCAGCAGTGATGAACAGCAGATAAGAAACATAAACGAAAACCACAGCTTTATTTTCTTACAAAGCATTTTTAACAAGTGGTGGTAGTCTATGTTTCTGCTAGAGCAAGAGGTGGCAATTTTCTCTGGATGAAAAATCTGCTTTTTTCTTAGGCCTTTTGGCTGTCTTTCTTTTTTCCAGGTGTGAAGATAATGTTTCTGGAACTGAATGCACAGAAGATAGTACAGTGAGTATCTGTCTTGTAAGCTTGCTGGTGTGGCTCTGGGTTCCTCTGGAAGGAAGGGCCTGTTCTTTTCTCAGGCACTCTTTATCTGTGTAATTATCTCTTGCAGTGCTTTCTTTGGAGCCCAGCTGCATCCTTTTATGGGGAAAAGAGCCCCACCCATACACACACACACACGCTGTAGTCCCTCAACATGCTGCTTCCTTCCGATTCACCTTTTCTTTTCTCTTTGTCTCCCCTATCTCGCTGGGTGGCTGGACAGACTTCTAGACAGAGCCCTGCATGGCAGCCACCCACCCTTCCCTTTTCTGAGAATGCTCTGAGAAGCCCCCCAAGGGAGGCTTCCAAATAAAAGGGATGTTGCAGAAGCCTGGTGCTTGGCGGCCCTGCAGCAGCCTCTGGCTTTCCTCAGTCTCTCCAGAGGCAGCAGGGGCGGAGTCTCCTTTTGCAAGGGGCCTGGGAATGCTGGGAGGGAAGCGCCACTGGCGGGAGACTTTGCTTCCATGCCTTGTTGTTCATTTCCCGTTTCCTTCCTAGACAACGTTGCAGAAACAGCTTCAGGATGACTTTGCCCAAATGGAAAGTGTTCAGTTGAAGGTAAGACATTTATGGGGGAAGCGGGCAGAAGAAAGAGACAGTTCTAGTTTTCAGGGCAAGGAAGAGACTTTGAAGATAAATCCTTGTAAACCACATCATGCTGTGCTGGTTTGAGCTTGCCCAGAAACATTTCACCTGTTTTTGTCAAACCAGGTGAAGGCTCTGAGCGAGGACTGGCTGGAGACCCACCAACGCCTGAAAGCAGAGGAGGCAAAAGTGACGGAGCTGGAGGCACAGATCGAGGGCCTGAACCTCAGACACGAAGAGACCAAGGCGGCCCTGCAAGCAGACATTTTGCGGGCCCTGGCTCAAGTCAAGGAGAAGGAAGACCTTGCGGAGAAGCTCCGGGCCAAGGTGGCCGTGCTGGAGCGGAAGGTGGAAGCGGCCTGCCAGGAGGCAGCTAAAAGCGCTGCCCGGCTGGAAAAAGGCGCCTATGAGGCGAGGCTGGCTCTCGAGGCCACCCTGGCCGAGCTGACTAGGCAGAAACACATGGCGCTAGAGGCCACCGTGGAGAAGCATTGGGGCGAGGTGGCTCTTCATAGCCAGGATGTGGTGGATCTGGAGGAGAATGAAGGGGGAGGAGCAGAAGCCCCCGGGAAGGATGACAGTCGGGTGCTCCTGCGGAAGGACGCCGTTGATGCTGGCCTGGGCGACGCTCCTCCTCCACCTCCACAAGAGGCGAGTTCTGTGTGTGTTTGGGGAGGAGCCAGGATGTGAAGTAGCTGATGGGAGTTCTGTATTGCAGGACAGTCTGGGGGTCAAGAGAAAAGGGTGGGGGAATGCTCCTGTTCCTGCAGACGGTCACAGCTTGGAGAGAGTTGCTTCTGGCTTCCCTTCAGCCCTCCAGTCATTGGTCCTGGAGTGCTCCTTCTGGGGAAAAAAGTCCTGGAAGGAATTGTCCTTTTTAAGAAGCAGGCTAGTTTTCAGGATCCCAAAGGCCTTGCTTTAAAGTGTACTGGACCACGAGAGAGATGCCTCTAGATGGATGAGCGGTGAAAGGGTTCACCTGCTGAGGTCCGCATGCTTTCCTTTGGCCAGCGCTTCAGGCTCTGCTGCCACTGGGGCTCATGAGACGCTGACCACCCATGACTGGGCTGCTTCTCCCCGACTCCTTTAAAGCTACATCATCTTTCTCATGCAGGGCCCAAAGTCTGCCTGAGTGGGGCTGAGTGCCCTCCTCCTTCCCCAGGCCTGTATGAAACCCTATTCCATTTCTCCACTGGGAGTTTAACTTCTCACCTCCTGTGCATGATTTCTGAGCACCAGCTCTGTGTGAATGGGGATACATCTCTCACTTCCTAGGCTGGGATCACTCTCGGGTTGGGTCAAGAGGCACCATCTGTGGGGAAACGACACCTGGGGCAGGCATGGCAGAAAGGATAGAAGGGTCACGGGTGCAAGGGCTGAGCTCTTCTTGCCGAAATTGTCGGCTGTGGGGTGTGTCCGCTGGTGCCAGCTGAGTTTCCAGCTTCAGCTGAAAGCCTTTCTGACTTCTAATGGAAGTCTGTCTCTTTCTTTCTCTCTCCCTCCTGCAGGCAAATCGAGGGATTTTCAGACCAGCCGCTTCATCTGAATTCAATGACTGTCTTTTCTTCCAACTCCTCTTCAGTTTTTCTGCATTTGTGCACCATAATCTGGCAGTGGGAGAATCTGCAGCAGAAGAGTTAAAATACAAACCTCCAGTGATCCCAGAAGGGCCCTTATTGGGTTTGAGAAGGCAGGGCCAGCCAGGTTTGGAAACAAGGCACTCTGGATAGATTAGCAGAGGTCACTTTGTCAAAATGACTGGAATCTTGAGCAGATAGTCAACAGATCCAGGATCCCGTTGGGAACACCTTCTGGCCGCCAAGCGATCAACACGAGTGGTAATCTGGGGTTGCTTCTGCATGTCTCCACTCAGCTGCGGGCATGTTGACCTTGTGAGGTCAAAGGGAAATCCTGAGGTTTTCAACAACTAGTTCTTCAAAATCAGGATCTAACTTCGGCCCAGATTCAGAAGCTTCTTCCACCACAAAGTTCTCTGAAGCAATCAGAGAAGCAGCTGACAATTGCTGGGCTGTTTTACACTTTGACAAACTCCTGGCAATAGACTTCTGCGCCAGCCTTTCCCTTTTGGAGACTGGATGAGCGCTCGTCAGCTAAAGAGGCTTTGTGTCAGACAGTATTTCTTCCGCTGAGCATGATTTGGATTCTTGCCTGCTTCCGTGAAAGTGTGCCATGGCAGTGCTTGACACCCTCCTGGCGCCATGTTGTTTTCTAGACAATCTCTGGTTGTGAGATAGGCCACCTTTTCTACTCCATGCTGTTGATAAGCCTGTTTCCCAAACCATGTAAGTGCTATAGTGGTTATGCGGTCTCTCAAACTGCTGTGGACACTTTAGCTATGTTAGATGTTTAATAAATAGATGGTACTGTTGCTGAATCATTTCTTGCTTCAGAGAGCTGGAATGTGGATGAAAATCTGGGCCACTTCTGGGCAGGGTGGAAGTTGGACCTGGTCTCCAGGTAGCCAGGCAGGGAAATCCCCAGCCACCGCAATGTTCACCTTGCTTGCAGGCATTACAAAATCTAGGCACTGTTCAGTTAATTATCAACACTGTTTCCACACATGGCCACATAAATTCATTTGATGCCTTTTGAAGCTCTGAAGTGGTTGTTTGCATTTCATTCTACTTGGCCCAACTGGTATTATTTAAGTTCTCTGCATGACTGTGGGTGGGAGAGACAGTGTGGTATAATGGATAGAGTGGCAGACTAGGGCTCAGAAGGATTGTGTTCAAATCCTTACCTGGGAACTGACTTGGAAGTGGTGGTCATGGTAAACTTCTCCTGGAACCACTTTTGTTCCTGGAAAAGAAACTGTAGCATTGCCATAAAGTTAATAGCACAAAACATCTCGCCTGTGGGGTCTCTGTTTCCCCTGCTGGTACCTTGTCCTGCCTAGTAAAGGGGTCTGCCTCCCCTCCCCAATCACATCATGGTCACACATAGGCCGAGGAGGGCTCTGCCACTGGGGCTCTTCTTGTGCTGTGTTCTCTGTGGAGAGGATGGCTGGGCAGAAGTCTCTGCTGTGTGTCAACATCCATTCTGCATAGTTGGAGCTGGAGAGAGATGCAGGTCTCTCCTTAGCAAGAGGTGTCATTGCAGCAGAACCTCTGGTTTATTGTTTTTGACAGAAAGGCGGTATTTGGCCAAAGCTATTTTAGATGGTCCTCAGGTTGCTGTTTGGTTGGTAAGCAAATCAGACATGTGCCCTGCAGAGCCACAAAACCGAGCAACCACTATCCTACTTGGTAGGGAGGCTGTGTGGGAAAACACGAGTGCTCCCGGCAGCTGTATAGCTGTTGAGAGGTCTAAAGACACACGTGTAGTTGTCTGACCTTGCCAGCAGAGGGAGGTGTCGTACTGGATAAGAAAAAAAGCAAGCTTTCAGAGTCATTCTATACTCTTTCACATAATGGCGAAGAGTTCTGAGGAACCAGAAAGTTTGCTTTTTTGTTTTATCAGTCCAATAAAAACATTACTTACCTGTGCTTTTAACTTTTGCTTATGGGTTATGTGACTAAGTTTCTTTATTACACAAGTATGAATGTTTTTACAAGAGGTTTCTCCCCTCTTGCATGAGAAGAAGTGTGTTGCTTGTTCACAGGAGCTGGTGTTTGGAAAGCCTTATGGTGGAATGGGGGCTCACGTCTGGGGCAGGCGGTGAGCTAGGACTTCCTGTGTTTTGAGACTCAGCCTTAAAGGGAGGGCCGTTCAAATGAGATTCCCAGATAGAACAGAAGGGAGCAATTGGTGTGGAGCGTGGCCTTGCCTGCAAAGAAGAAAGGAATCTGGTGCCGAGATGACTGACTTTCTGCTTAGTTCTTGACAGCTGTGAGTTCTTGTAACTCTTCAGTGAGAAAATTGAGTGCACTCTGTGCAGGCTTCGTAGTCTTTGTTTTATGATCCTTGTTCCCTCCTCAAAAATGCAGGATCTCCATTTGTGGGTTTCTGAAGGGTTGTTAAAGAAGCAGGACCCTGGACTCCCAGTCTCATCCCTCCCTATTCCTTCTCTAGGGTTTCCACTTTGCTATAGACAGGACCGGATGCTGTACAGGTTGGACGCCTGCCTGTAATAGCAGGCTGAGAGGTGCCTTGCTCTGTGGGGCACAGACGGCAGCCAAACTGTTAAGGGCGAGGAACCCTTTTCCCACTCAGCAAGAGGAAAGGACAGACACGAGTGCCTCTGAAGAGGCCACGGGTGTTCTGTTTCTTCAGGAATTAATCATTCATGCCTCCCTCCAATTGAGGCCATGTTGCCTTAAGGGGATGATGGCACAACTGCCCTGCTGTGTGTCATCAGAGAACAATGTGGCTGCCCTGTGTCAGAACCTGCCGACCAGCATCTCGTTATGCCTCACCCTGATGGATTACAGAATAATATCCTTCTAAGGAGCTGCTGAACCACCTTCTTTGCCACAGAATGAGCTTGGCAGCTCCACCTGATGAGGAATCTTGAACCATAACCCCCAGGCCTCCTCTTTCCCGCCTGGTAGCACCCACTGCTTCAGGAGCACCAGACACGCCTTTCACGACATCCACCTAGATAGAGGCCCCATTTCTTAGCCTTCTCTTCCCTTGTTCTTAAAAATGCAGCAAAGGAAGATCAGTGGCCTACACCCGTCGTGGGAGTCTCTTCCATGAGGGGCGATTCCAGACCAGATCTTACAACAGCCCAAATTAGCCCATGGTGGTGCCTCTTGTGTCGGTTTGTTTGCCACTGGTGAGGAGCACCACAGACGCATCCATACATGTACCTCGACATGGCACCTGGTCGCCCACCCAAGTAACCCAAACAGGACGGCTCTAGTTAGCCACCTGTGCTGGGATTCTCAAGGCCTACCTGGAGGCTGGATGGATGGCACACAGCAGCCCAAGCCCTTGGCATCCTTGGGGCCTCTTGGGGAATTGCAAGGGGGAGAGAGAGGGGATGAGGGCACACAGGAGGGACCCCGGCACAGCTGTATGCCCTCCACTTTGTGTGCAGAAGTTGGCGCATGGTTCAGCCCATCCGGTTCAATTCACAAGATTCCTCGGCAAAGCTGGGAAAGGCTTCTGCCTGAAATGCTGCTGATCAGTGCCAACAGAACTGGGCTTTTTAAATATATCCTTCTAAGGAGCTGCTGAACCATCAAAGGCTTATATATATATGTATATGTTGCTGCTGCCCATCACCTCTGTTGTTAGTCTGAGCCACTTGTGTGAGAGGAAGAGGTGCCTCGGTCTCTTTGTGTTCTCATGGTAGCAAAGGATCTGGGGCTACCCCATGTGCTAATGTGGCGGTTCAGCTGAGCAGTGCATCTCAGAAGCTGGCAAAGACACACACCACTGGGAGAGAACTGGCTTAAGGTTTGGCACTCTCTCTGATTGACACGGATGCAGGCACATGCCACCTTCCAGGACTGCAACTCCCATCAGGCTTAGCCGAAAGAGCCAAAGGGGCAGGGATTGCAGGAGTTGCAGACCAAGAGTTTCGGGAGAGGAATGGGTGCCCCGCTTGACGGAAAGTGATGCCTTGGTGGCAGCAGGAGGTGGTCCTCCCTCTCCTCTGCCTGACAGGTCCTGGTTTATTCTCCTTTAAGCTGCTTTGCCTTTGGCCAGTGCTAGTTTTGGGCCCAGCAAAGAGGAAAGAGGCTGGAGACGGAGGCGGGGCTGATGAAGCCACTGGCCGCGCTGTCTTGAACCAGGCAAAACTGCTACCACTTCACCACGGCTCCTGCCTGCCCTGTGTGGAGCCCTGCAGACTTCATTGTTTCAGGGGCATTGGGGGTGGGGTGGGGGGGAAGGCGTCAGGAGCAGCGGCAGCTCCACTGCCATTTATAAGGGTGCCGCCCTCTGGGTGTGTGTCAGACAGTGAAAGAGACAAAGAAAGAACTCTTGAGATCTTGATTTCTGCCTGGAATTGAATACAGTCCAATTGCCCCCAGTCAAAGTGCCACCGTTGCCAGGGTGCCCATTCTGTGGAGCAGACGGTGATGCCCTGGCATAGCACTCCCTCCCCCACCATAGTGTCAGGGATCTTGGCCAGCTGCCAGAGTCCCGGTTGGCAGAGCCAACAGCAAAATTCCACCACCCCAGGAAGCATCAGGGAGCAGTTGTGTGTCTGTGGAAAAGCCATCATTCTTTTACAATCTCTCTCCAACACTTCCCCGGCCTCTGTGACACCCTCTTGGCCTCCCACTCCCTTTTCCAGATGTGGAGGTGATGAAAAGCAAACTGCTTTTTGAAAGTAAGGGGTGCCCAATCTAACATCTGTCAGCACATGGGGGGGGTGGCCAGGGGGAAATGCCACCTTTTAAGAGGAGGAAGGGGGGGAAACCTGTTGGATGTGCCCACTGGCTTTGGTGTCCCTCCCAGGTCATGCCACTTCTTTAGCTCTCAGCCAGCATATTTACGCCCATGCACGGCAGGAGTGTGTGTGTGAGAGAGCTTTTCAATTGCTAGGCAGAAACTCTCCAAAATGTACTTAAAAGAGTGTAGGGAGCTGCCTTGTACTGGCTCAGCTTCTCAGTCCATCACCGCCTAGGACTGGCAGCAGGCACAGCTCACTGGGGCTGCAGGTGGGCTTATTTCCAATGGCAACAGGTAGGGTCTCATGATGAGGTGGTGGTAGATTCTCTCCTTTGGTGGAAGCTTTTAAACAGAGGTTGGGTGGCCTTCTGCTGGGAGTCAGCTTAGTTACTGTCTAACCCCTGCCTTGCCATGGGGTTAGACTAGATGAGCCTTAGGGTTGCTTCTAGCTGCTCAATTCTGGGATGCATAAGTGGCATAACCTTGCCACAAATATCCTCACTGGGAAGATGGGCAGATGAACTTGAAGGCCTCTGGTTCACATGTGGAGGGGGAAAGGAAACCCATTTCCTCCGAATGCACCCACTCTGCTACTTCTTTTTAAGACAGGAAGAGAACATCCACCTTATTCCCCCCCCCCCAAACTCACATTTTGTTCAATGTGCAGAGTTCTAGGGAGCCACTTATGCCTTGGCAAGGCAGGGGTTAGACAGTAACTAAACTGACTCCCAGCAGAAGGCCACCCAACCTCTGTTTAAAAGCTTCCACCAAAGGAGAGAGTCTACCACCACCTCATAATGAGACCCTACTTTCAAACAGATCGATTCCAGTTTTCTCTTTGGCCATCATATCACTGAAGCCGTCATCCCAGCTACAAATGTATGGAAGCAGTTAAGCGGAATGAACTGATCTGGACAACACAGCACAGCCCCAATGAATCCTATTTAAATTTCATCGTTCTGTGGCTTCTCTCAGAACTTAACGTCTGAGTCAGAAACCAGAAATGAAAAGGACGGGGTTATTTTCAGAGCTAACAAAGGGTGTGCACCTCCTCCTCCCTCCTGGAAAAAGAATACAGTAAGTCCCCCACACACAAAGACATTTTAAAAAAATCTTGTTGCCCCCACCTGATGCCTCCGATTCTTCCAGCACCATTGGAGCAGCTGCCGCGAGTATCAATTTCTTACACAGGATTGCATCACCTAACAGAAAGAAGGAGGGCTCATTAAAAAAAAACGGAGAGGAAAAACTCCAGAGAGGACAATAAAATATCAAATGAGCTTTATTTATGGTCCAATATATATATATATATGCATCCTTTGCAACAGGCTGCCTGTTTTACAAGGCCCCTAACAGGCAGCTGGGGCTGACGGAGGAATGAAAAACGAGGTGTGGGTTTCCTCCGTCACCCCCAGATCCTGCTGTGGGCTTCTAAGTAGTCATCCTGCTGCGATTTCTGGGGGGCCAGATGCCCTGGCCTTGCCGGTGGGGACCCCTGAAGTGGGACATCTGTTCAGTTCCCTGTGTCTCTTCCTTGGCCGGTCCTAGGACATTCAGGAAACAACCCGTTCTTACCCTCGGGGTTACAACACCAGCCCGCTTGTTTATGCGTTTATTAATCGACCACTCTCTCGGCGGCGTTGGCGTCCGCTTTGGAGGAAGAGGAGGAGGCCGGGCTCTCGGGTCTCCCTGGCCCTGGGACACCCGGCGTCGCCCGCCTTTTGGGAGGCCAGGAGGCCCATCTTAACCCTGAGTGAGAAATGCCCCTTGTAACCAAGCCATGGAAAGAAGTCTGCTGTTGCCAGGGAGGAGGAAGTGCAGCGGCCACTTTTGCTTCCTTCTCACCTCCTCCTCCTTCTCCTCCTGTTAAGACAGAGAACAAAAGAAGATCCAGGGAGGGAAGGTGGCCCTGCCTTGAGTCAGCCGGGGTGAGGTGGAGGCCAGGGGGGGGCGGCTGGCCTACGGGGAACCCCACCAGACCCCCCACACACACCCTGTTGCCTTCTATGAATCGCCCTGGGACCCATGGATGCTCTTGGACCAACCTGGGTCTCTGCCTGGCCTACCTTGCAGGGCTGTTGTGAAGGTTCCTCCCCGGCTGGGGAGGAGAGCCAGGGGCGCGGCCTAGAGGAAAAGACCTAGGTTAGGGCAAGGAGCGCCCCCGAGGAAGGACAAAGGGGGCCGCGTTTTCCCTTCCTCGTGGGAAGTTTCCGGGAGGGAGGGGGGAAGGAAGGAGAAGGGGGCGGAGCTAAGGGACAGGAGAAAAGGCGGGAAGGGAAAAAAAGAACACCCGCTATTGCGCATGCGAGTTACGACCCTTCTCTCCTAGGGCTCCTTTTTTTCTTCACCTGTTTCCTACATTTTTCTGCCGTGACGTCACACCTCTCTCTCTCTCTCTCTCTCTCAATCCCGAGGGGGGCGGGGCGAAGCAGATAAATAGGAGCCCCTCCCCTCGCGGAGGGAGAGAAGCGGCGCGTGAGGGAGGAAAAAAAGGCGGGAAGGGCAAGGAGGGGGGGAAGGGTGGCTTTGAGGTGAGGGGTTGGGGAAGGGGGTTTATCTGTGAGGGAAAACTAAGCCGGGGGTCCAAGGAAAGCCCACGTGCTGTAGGTTTTTTTTTTAATGTGGGAAATGTGAGGAAGAAACAGGAGGAAAAGACGCCAGGAAGAGCCTGAGGAAGAGGAGAAGGGAGGAAGGTCGCCTTTCTGAGGGGTTTTCTTAGAGGGGGGGCAGGTGGAGGTCGAGGTCCACAGGAAAAGCGAAAAGGGGGGAAAAGGCGGCGAGGAGCATCCCCTGAGGGGAAGAGAAGAGAAGCATCCCCTGAGGGGAAGCCTCTTCGTTTATTTAGACGAGGCGAGAGAAGCGGGGCCTCAGGAGGGAAAGGGAAAGGGCAGGAGGAGGGAGAGAAGGCTCGGGGAGAAAGCGCAGACCCGCCGTAAATAAGACGGGTGCTTGTTTGTTTGTAAAGCGGGGGGGAGATAATTAGTTTATTCCCAGTTCTGGAGGCCCTTCCGACGGAAGACGAAGGGCTAAAGAAGACCCGGGCCCTGAGAGAAGGCAGAGCAAGGCGCTCAGGGCTCAGCCAGCCCGGACCAAGGAAGCCGTGGCCTCCCCCCCAAGCCAGCCCTCCGAGGGGGGTAAAAACCTTGGGGAAGAAAGGGAGGAGGCCATGCGGAGGGGCCGAGGAAGGGGATAGGAGAGGGAAGAAAGGCGGGAGAAAGAAAGTTAGTGGAAGGGAAGAGAGCTTTAAAATAAAGGTCGGCACTCTGGAAGGTGGAAGGGGAGTTTATAAGAAGGAAATGGGGAGGGAGGCCTAGGGAAGGGCCGAAGGGGGAAGCCACAAGCCGGATGGTCGGCAAGGCAGGTGGTGTGTGAACAGGTGAGAGAAGGAGCCGAGGGCTTCCAGGGGAGCCTCTTGCCCCGGGGGGGGGGAAGGGCCAGGAGGTCCCCCATTGCCACCCCAGAGGGGCAGGGAGGTCAGGGGTCTCCCGCTCTCTCCTATGGCCGGGGCTGGCGTTCCCAGAAAGCTGAGGGCACTGGGAAGGGTGTAGGAAGGAAGAGGGCCTCCTCGGTCCCTCAGTCAAACTCTGTGACTCGAGGAGGAGAGCTGCCTTTCTAGGTGTCAGGGAAGCGAAAACCAGCTAAAAGGAAGCGATGCTAGCTGGAGACTATTCCCAGAAGGTGGTGGGGATAAAAAGCCCCAAGAAACATAGCCTGGTTTCAGTTGCCTCGAGAAGGGAAACTTTTAAGTAAAATACAGTACTCTACTGTACAAGAAATCCTTGAAATGACCCAGAGGTCGTTATCTAGCCTGTGGTTGCAGCATTTGGTCCTACATATCTCTTCCCCCCTCTCCGCCCCTTCCCGGCCCCAAAGCAGGACGAAGGAGGGGGATGTAGCCATCCACTTCCTTTCTTTGTTTATTTTCTGTGACATTTATAAACATGTTTTGAAACTGTGGGAAAAATACCACCGTTTAGCCACACTCCTGGTGAACTCAATAGAGTGATTAATGGGTATTATTAAGCACTAACTAATCCACATTAATTATTCTTAAGAATGTCTTGTGAATGCCTTCCAATAGTGCAAACTGCCACTCCGTGTATAACTGCAGCACTTTTGTTTGTGGCATCATCATTCATTTCTTCAATAATTATACTTTTTAAGCTTATAAAATGTTTTGTAATACCTCAGCAGGAACATTATTATGGGCCTGTCTCCTTACTTTCCACACCCATGTCATTCCAGTTTGATTCCAGTGCCCTCTTGTCTACAGAAGTTGCAGATAGACGTGGGAAAGAAAATAGCTCTCTACTCAGTGGATATAAAGTTACTTATTTAGGTTATTACAAGAACGGCTGGCATTTCTTCTTCAAAGGAATTGGACTACGTCTCAGGAGTAGGCAGCAACGTGTAAACAGAGCTTTGCAGAGCATCAGCAGGGTGGGTAAAAATATAGTTACAGCCTTAAGGCCACTGTTGCATGTACATGGATTTGATTACTAAAAATGGCACCCAGCCATGAAATAGGTGATCACACCCTTGTGATCGGCTGTTGGGGGTTTATGCAAAGATTTTTAAGGAGTCCCTGCCAAAACAGCCCTTTTCTGTTGTTCATACACATAAATCTAGAGCATTGCTGTGAAATCTGCCCAATGGTTACACAAAGAAAACTTTGGCAGTGCTATTCCTGGCATAAATCAAAGAGATGAAACATCTATATTTATTCAAGCTAATTAGGGAACATCTGACTAGCTCACCAGTTTTCTTTCTGTCTTAATTTTTCCTCCCTTATTCACATGCAGACACAAACAACACAAAAAATTCCTTTCCTACATTCAACAAGCCAAGTGGCACCAGCTTTTTCAAGACAGTGTTTTATACCGTATAAAAGCAGAGAGGAGGGAGACACTCTGGAGTGGGGTTGCTGCAACAAGGGCCTAATGGTACAATTTCTGAAGCGGCTTCTCATGTTATGGGCACATTGTCTAAAACTGGAAACCCATTCAACCATATGAATGATATAATTCAGATATAATCAAGGAGATAAACATTTAGAATCATTACATCAACTGAGACCATTCTCTGGTAATAAATTATAAGGGTCCTTATAATAGTGTGTGCCTAGAAATAGTGTGTGATTTGACATTTTGGTGAATCTGACTTGTGCAGTGTCAGAACTGCCCTATATACTTTTGCTTTCCTTTATGTAAGGTAAGCATAATTCCTCTTGTTAGTCTGAAGGCATAATAACTTACCCTCTGATAAGTAGCAAGAGTATCATCATATGACAGCTGGAGGGACACAACATGGGTGCTGCCACCATGCAATCAGATAAAATTTTGTTATCGAAACACATTTTTGTGTTCCAAGCTAGACTTAATATGCAGAGATTCTTTTGTTCTGTGTAGATTCCTTCCTTGCCCAAGTAAGTTCAAAGCAGGTCAATATTGTGCAGGAAGAGGAAATCTCAGAAATACCAAGGTTCTTTCCACAAGAAGGAAAGGCTCTTGAGATGATTGTCTGCTCTGTAATTCTCTAAATGAGCTACATTCCTTTTAAGTGTGGTTCGTTCTCAGTAAGATTGCTGCAGACCATTACGCATGCATTTTAAAATTGCACTTGTAATCAAAAGTTCAGTTTGCAAAATGGAGTTACTGTTATGAACTCAGTATTAAGAACAGAAACAGATTAGCTCTAAACTGGTGTTTGGACAAGTTACCTTTTGGATCTATAGTTCTCAGATCCTATAGCCAGCGTGATGCATTTTCAAGGTTCTAGTCAGAAAAACTGACTTCAGGCTCTCTACAACCTCACCATCAGATTACAGTGTTATGTCAGCTGAGATGGTTGGGTACGTCCACTTGAATGAGGTGTGCTCATGTCTTTTTTTCTTGTAATTTATAGAATATGAGCTGTATAAATCCCGAACTACAGTAACAAGTTTGGTGAGTCCTGTGGTTTCATTGCTAAGATGATCCACTATGATTCTTCCCTGCATGAAAAAAACTCCACCTGCTGTGGTTCAGCTGCATGGCAGTTCTGCAATCGCCCTGGAAGGTATGTTATGCTATTTTACACACATTTTCATGCTTACCACATTGTAGCATCAGACACATGTCAAAGGCAAAGAGCCCCGCCATCTGGATGCAGTAATAATTTGGATGTCCTATAACAGTGGCTTAGTTTATTGTAGGGCTGTACATCATGGAATCTCCAAAACGTCAGATCGTATGGAGGCAGAACTATGGGCAGGCTCATATCATCACACCAAAAACGTCCTGCTTACAGTCTGTGTTTTTTTCATTTGGACAGCTTTCTTCCTCTCATTGGCTGTACCTTAGAAAACATCTAAATCATTATCATTGTGGTCATTTATTAGAAAGTAGCCACATCAAGATGTTCCCAACTCTAGGGAAATAGTAGGTTTGAAAGCTACCACAGCAAGGTGTTTGAGGTAGAATGGTTATATCGAACTCAGTCAGGACTTACCCCAAAGAGAGTGGGCCTTCTGCCTTTTACTGAATGAGAAGATGCAGACACCCTTCTTTAAAAATTGCAGCACAAGGACTTGGAGAACATAATTACAGCTTGACCTGTTTTAGCAGGTTTAAATAAACAGAGAAGAACTTCTGAACATTTGCCTGGGTGGGTAGGCTGGAACTTGACTTCTCTAAATCCATTCCGTTTATTTATCTTTTCTGCTGTATGTTTTATCTCCTACACACTATTCCAGTGACTAAAGGTGAGTCATAGTGACTTAATATTTTTTGTTCTTAGAGGAGGAAACAAAAATGAAAATGTTACAAAACATATTTTTCATGTAAATATGAAACAAGAGAGGAAGCTTACAGTTACAATCATACATTTTGGGATTGAAAATAAAGAATTTATGGTCCTGTGGGGGGGTGTTGTAGTTCAATTCACATCAGTCCTAGCCAACATAGCTGATGGTGGCGGAATCAGTCCCTCAGCGTTTTGAGGGCTATGTCTTTTCTATATTTTCTCTATATAAATTAATACTAAATTGTCATAGCCATACCCTGTTGCTTCTCCCAAACCCTGTGTGTGAAAGATATAGCAGCTCTAGATGGAGAGCACATCTTTCTCCTCAAAGCCACTGTGCATCACTCGTGAGAGTTAACAGCTGGGGTAGGTACTCCCTGGCAACTTTTGGCAATTACCTGTGTCTCACATGTAGCCTTTACTGGTGGGAAAATCCTAGTATTCATGGTTGCTTCAATCATTGGTCGTGTGTCAGTTACTTCTTATCTTTTTGTCACTTTTCGTCTTTTCATGGCACAGACTTTATCTTATCCCTCTTATCAAAACTGGAACCTCTTGGGAGGCTTGCCCATAGGAAGGTGTGACTTGTAGGAGAAATATCCCTCACTTGACAACAGAGTATAGTGTGTTTGGAGAGACAACAGTTCAACCACAAACTTCCTTCCTTCCTCTGTTTGATCTTATCAAAGCACAAGCTAGGATTGGCTGAGGAAGGGGCACAAGAATGTGTGGAAAAGATCCCCACCCACTGCAGTACAAATACATTCCCCGCTGGATAAGACCGAGAGGATGATTCACCCAAGGCTGAAACCTCCGGTCTTTATGCTAGTCACAGGCACATTGCGCTTCCTGTTCCATTTTGCAGCGCCGGCATATGGATTAATGGATTCATGATTCATATAAATATTAGGCCGCTGGAACCAAGCAAGGCAATGTACGTTTCTTCCCAGCCTTCAACTAGCAAAGATTAAAATAGATTCAATTTTTAATTTTATTTGCAGCGTGAGGTAAGAATTGTTCAATGCGAGCTTGATGAGCTTTGTGAAATTGAAAGGATCATAGAACTGTAGAATAATTTTTTCTGTAGGACAAACTCCCTGCTGAGTGCAGGAATCCACATCAAAGCAGATCCAAATCAAAACAGCTCTGGCTAAGCAAAATGTGGGAGGCCAGTTATGTGTAGAATTGTGCTTGCAAAAGGTTGGTGATGTGTTGGAAGCATACTGTGAGTGTCCTTTTGGAACTCTGCTGTTCCCAGTCCCAGGTAGCCGGCTTGAGGTTCATTCAGCCTTCCACCCTTCTGAAGCTGGTAAATGGAGTGCCCAGCTTGCTGGGGAGGGCAGTGTGTAGCCTGTATAAATAAACTGTAAACTGTCCAGAGAGTGCTTTAATATTATGGGGCAGTATATAAGCGGCACAATTTTTTATAAACCACTTCAATCCCAGTGGGGCTCCGAGAGCAGAGATCCATTTAGAGTTTTGTCAAAATTACTTGAGCTCAAGCCTCCCTTCTGAAATCCTATGCTTGAACTTGCATACTTACTTTATTCTGTGCCAGAAGACTGGTTCATGTAGCCCAGTGTTGTTTAATCCAGGTGAGGTATCTCCCTCTATTAATTAGAGAGGCCAGCAGTTGTCACTGGGACCCTCAGGAAATGAACCACTGCTTTATAAAATGGCCGGACATTGAATCAAACTGTTGGTTTGCCATTACGTATGTTGAGTTCCTTCAGATTTATAGTGGCCGTATAAATTAATGACCAGACTATCTTATCATTTGCAGCCCTGTAAACTAAAGGTTGAGGCTTCCTTTATGGAGTCAATCCATATTATACCTCTCCTTTTTTTTTCTGCCTTGCAACTTTTCATGACATTATTTTATTTTCTGATGAGTGTTAGGGTATTTCCAAAGTCATTTAGCTGTTGTTGAGAGTTTGGTTGATTTACTCTAGAACAAATATATTTGTCTTCCTGCCAGACCATGGACATCCCTAAAGCTCTTCTCTAGCATGACATTTCAAATAAACATTTTTCCCCTTGTTGCCTTTATTTATTCTTCAGCTTTGCAAACAACTGCCTTGCCTCATGATTTTTTCCTCTTAAGTTGTGCAGTATGAAAAAGGTACTTCTGAGGAATGGCATTGTCTGTTCCATACATGAGGCGCATGTCAAATGTAGAAGTGGGCTGTTGGTTGGAATGACACATCTAAAGCTATCCTGTTTTCAAAAACTGGCTTTCAAGGGTTTCACATGGGACTCTTCAGCAATCCTACCTTCAGGTGCTAGATACTGAACATGAAGCCTTTGTGCGCAAAGTTATGCTTCACCATTTGGCTTATAGCTCTTAAAGGGCTATCAGGTCCTGTTACCTGATGTGCAATCATGAACCCTCTTTTATTCTGCTCAAGGTACTGCAAGTGTTAAGTTTTAGTTAAATGCTCTTAAGAACACAATTCAGCTTTCCTCTAAACCTTCGAGCTCACTTGTATATAAATGAAGACAATTCTTAAAATCTGAGTTGCTAATTAGCCAGAATCTGACTCAAAGATTTATGTGCTTCTTTATTATTTTAAGGTTTGTTTTCCAAAAAGAGAAATGAGAGTTAGAATGCATCATCAGGGTGAAATAAATTAGAAGTTAATTCAACTTTCTACTGTATCTGCCTGCCTGCCCACCTGCCTACCATCTATCTGTCTATATATCTTTACATACAAACCTTTATTGGCATTGAAAAGTAGAGAGTGCTTAGATCAATAAAAAAGCTGTGGAGAGTAATAAAACCATGACCAAATTAAGTTGGAAAAGTGGTGCAACTATGGACTATGCCTGGGAGATAGCCATCCCACCTTTCTCCTTAAAAGGACCCAAAATGGCTTACATAATTAAAAATACAATATTTCAAAGCTAAAACAGAAAGTATGCAAGTATTTAAAAAGAATTAAACCAAGAAACAAGGAGTAGCTAATTTAGTTTGATTTAGTTGGTGTACCACTATCTCGCCTTTAATTTCTTTGTGGGCAAATTAATGGAGATGGCCAAAGTAGGCAAATGTGCAAGGTGTAACTGAGCCTCCATCAGAAGCTCCCCCTACAAACACACACGTTCACAGTGGAACTTGTAGTGCAGGTGGCATTAATATGAAACAGCCTTTGCTCACATACCTCTTTCTTTCTGGGCACAAGCTCTGTTAGAAAGGTAGGAAGTGTGGGTGGAAGTATAGAGCTATTAGTATGCTGATGTTAATGTTCAGAAAAGCAAAACAAAGAAGACCATTTTGGCACAAGATCCAAACCATCCTGGATAGAGAGGGTAGAGACATGGGAGAATGAATCACACTTAGAAAATTATTCAGGTGGAAGAGAAAGGAGCTAGATTGTCTAATGTTTATGAGAATCTCACTTTTGTAAGGAGACTATTAATCCAAGTCTTTTATCTGTGGCTGCTGATGTGTCAGCCTTCCGGCTTGGGCCACACTGACCTGTAACTGATCTGGAAGGTTATCAAAGTAAGGCGTGTGTGCAGAGATTCATTTGGGACTTAGCAGGAGAATAGGATTCCTGATGCGTCTGGGCCTGGAGGTGCCAAGTGGGCTTAAACCTGGCTGGTAAACAAGTTCTCTCCTGATCCTTTCTGATGACTGACCAGCATGTCTTGGCAACTAGATTGGGACACACTCTCTATTGGAAGCCAGTTGTCCTTTTCCTACTTAGCCTTTCTTTGCCACACAAATTATTGGCACAGGGTATTTGGGGATGTTAACTTGTGTAATTGTAGGGAATTTACAAAGCAAAAGCAGCAGGATTTGGCAGATCTAGCCTCAAGTCACTAAGCATGCACTGACTGCCTTTCTATAGCACAAACATCAGGGATTTTAAATGGTAGGTGTCCACATTTTCCTCTTAAGTATTGTAGTTGTGTGTACTGTACTGATTAGAGTCTTGGACTAGGACTTGAGAAATCTGGGTTCAAATCACTTGACCATGAAGCTCAATGGGCCCCTTTGGGCCAAGCATAGCGTGTCAGCCTGTCTCCAAGGTTTGTAGCAAGTAAAGTGGGGAAGAAGGGAGCCATGCACACAGTTTCCAGTTGATTGGACAAAAGGTGGGATGTGAATGTTGCAAATACTGAATCAGTATTAAATTATTGTGAAAGTCAGCTGCAGCTGAAAACCCCCTGAAGAGACTCTATATACATGGATGTCAACTCTTACTATACCATGGTTGAGTTGAGAATATTCTCTGAATAATATCAAAATGTAGCCTTTAGACAGGCAG